GGTACTGAGCAAGGGGCTGAGCACAGCTCCTTCTGTTAAGGCCATACCAAAACCTGCCAATTTGATTTACCATGACCGGATAAAAAGCTGGTTATTGCTTGAACTGTGTCCAATAAGGTACCAAACCATCACTGTGCTGCTCAGCAGAACCCCCAGTGCTGGAGGAGGAACTGCAGTGTCCTGGAGTGGAGCCAATGCCTCCAGTGCTTGTGTTGGGGGAACAGAACAAGATTGTTTCTGTGGGCCCAGTCCTGCACCTTTGCCTGAAAACATCCTTTCAGGCACAGGAGGTTGCCTGATAATGGACACAAAGACACACTGACCCCTTGAGCATTTTTTTGTTTTCTTCACCTGTGAAGATACATGAGGAGCTCAGGCTCCGTGCAACCACAAAATCACCCGTGTATCACATAGTAAAGAAATCTGCTTGGTTTCCTGGGACTGTCCTCAAACTAGCTTCTAGACACCTCAGACAGAAGGGTCATCTATGAAAGGGGTATTTTGTAAGGCACTTTACTTCTGAAATACATATACCAGGCTGCCCAAGCCCACCATGCATCCACTAAAACCTACACCCTGAAGATGGTGAGGAGGCCAGCGAGCCTGTCCCAGTGAGTGCTGTCACTTCAGTTCTCAGAGGAATAAACTCTACCCAGTTAGCAGCTCTATACTAATAAAACTGCACAGTAAACTGAAGGGGACATATTCTTTTCACTGTACTGGTTTAACTCCAGCAGTACAAGCTGTGAGCACACAAGGCTTTGGTAGATATAAAGAGAACACATTTCCTCTTAAGACACTGGGGTAAGACTTAATTCCCTTAAAGTCAGCGGAATGACACTGGTGGTGAGTGAGGCCCAGTGCCTTTGATAACGAATATTCCTGTAGCTGAATCCCCTTGCAGGCCAATTAATTACCTCCATACCCTGCTGGTGTGTTCCAAATTTTATTTTTATTTCAAAATCAAAGTTAAATAACTAGAAATTATCATGTGGCTGAGCCAAACTGTGACTTTATGGGTTTTAATTTTTGAGATTAAAGCGAAGTACAAAGACACACCCAGTCAGCAAAGTCTGGAGACAATAAGATGTAAAGCAATCCTCCTTCTGACCTCACATTAACACAGAAATCACCCTACAGCATGCAAGTGTCAGCCAACAACGGCACCTACTTATTTCCTGTCAGCTTGTCCCTTTGATCTAACCTGATCCTTCTTCACTTTATTAAAAACGTTCTAATCTTTTGTCTTTGATCTCCCTGTAGGATTCTTCAAAGAGCTTCAAATTAGCAAACATGCAAACAACAAAAAAATGTACTCTGTATCTGCAAGAAACAATGATGTGGGGAGCTGTTTCCTTCCTCAACACACAAGTTTAATGAGGGGCAGCATTTTAAAGCCAAAAGATGCCATACTTATCTGTTGTTTACTGGCATTAGGGTGGATGACAGAGCCCAAGCTTTTTTACTGGGGGTGCTTTGCTCTGAAGGTGTAACAAGGCAGCCCAGCAGGGGTAGCAAAAAAGCCATGTGCATACTTCATTCAGGACGCCAGATGAAAGGATTATGTCACATTCAAGAGCAACAAAGAGCTCTGTTTAAGTTTGTACCAGGCTGGAACTGTGGGGCAGCCGTTAAAGACCACCAAGGTTTTAAACAAAACCGGACACTTTTAAGTTTCCTCAAGCTTTCCTTGTAGTAAATCCACCCAATATGAAGGGAATGTCAGTATCTCCCACAAGGAAGATCTCTGAAGCTTAAAGGGAAAACAAGTTTATTGTATTTTTATGTGTGTAAAACCCCTTTGTCTATTTTAAATATCTATATATGCTTTTTCTTCCTAAAAGTACCATCATTTTCAAGGACACTGCCACATTAATTTTGTTCCAGCTTAAACTTATTCAATGGCAAAATGTTTTTAGCAAGGAAGGGCACTACTCTAGATCCTCTTCTATGTCAAGTAGTTAGCATCCTTCCTCTCCTACAACTTTAATTTAGCTCCAAAGGTACAGATTTCAAACAAAATTGGTGCCTTTTATTATTGAATACTGCTCACCTCTGAAAGAGTTATGAGCCCAGGTTAGAAAGACTCCATAGGCTACACTGTAAGTTCCTTGCACGTGTATCCACCTCTTGGTGCAGAGTTTTGGTTTTAACTCTTACTCCATGGGGAGGTGGATCTGTCACCAGGTTGAAACAGTCCCAAATATCTTCACCACATAAATTCAGGCCACCCAAACCCCCTCACAACTGCAGTTAATAATCCAAGGCACAGACCAGCACCTACTGAAGTCAATGAGTCACTTTTGCTGGTCTATGAAATCCTAGGTTTGAACTGTAACACAAGAAGTCTCCTCAGTAAAGCCTCAGTCCAGGGGAAATATAACTAATCAGGATTTGACCCAGGCTGGTACCCATGGACCTTGGCCCATAACCTAACCCTGTTATATCAGAGTGGGTGAAGTCCCCACACCCATTTTTCTTTCACTTCTTTGTCACCCCAAAATCCACTGTGATTACAGGTAGCAGGTATATAACCTGAGAACAGAACATGACTTAGGCAATTGAGTGCTTTAACCTGTCTAACTCAAATTGATGCAATTCATGTTAAAAAGCTATTGAAGATCAGCACTGATAATTATCTGTGGAAAAGTCCAGTGAGGCTGTAGATGATCAGAGAATCATTAAGGTTGGAAAAGGCCTCTAAGATCAAGTCCAACCCTTAACACTGCCAGATCCACCACCAAACCATGTCCCTAAGCACCACATCTACATGTTTTGAACACTTTCCAGGATGGTGAATGCATCACTACCCTGAGCAGCCTGTTCCAATACTTGATAATCCTTTTGGGGAAGAAATTTTTCCTAATACCCAATCTAAATGTGCCCTGGCACAACTAGAGGCATTTCCTCTTGTCCTGATGCAAGCAGGCAAAAACTTTGGCCCCTCTTGTCCTGTCCTCCTGCCCCGGTCTGTCTCAAGTCATACTCAAGGTCTGAACTTGTCAAATTCTTTGGTTACCCACTTTACTAACTTACAAAGACAAAAGTGGTGGTTTTAATTAGTCCAAAACCACACAGGAATATTCAACAAAAAACTATTGGAATTGCTACTCAAGATTTATTTTATTTTGTTTTACAGTTCACTAGCACTCAGAATCTCTCCAACAACAAACAATATGCTCTGCTTTTATCCTGGGTGAGGGATTTTTCAAGCAGATATTGTCTCTTGTGGCTGTTGCTGCTGATGAAAGGCAGAGCTCAGCCTTTCTAGGAACTGCCACATACTTGAGAGTGTTCCAGATGCATGGGCTCAGGCCAGCTTCTTGACATGGAGCTCTGAGCTCAGCTGAGTGCTGCTGCTTCCACGCTGTGCAAGGATCATCCATTCCCGGCTCCTGTCCTTCCCCACAGCCTGGCACTGCCCCATTCAGCAGGACTGCAAGGACAGCCACACTGGGTGCCTTCTCCACATGGCACTTATTGTTTCCACAGGTCTAGGCTCAAAATATTTCCTTAGAGGAAACACTGCATAAATCTCAAAAAATAGTTTAGAGAAATCTTGAATGTGTGTCTACTTGTGAAACCGCTATCAAGTAAAATCCAGTGACTATAACAACTTGACCACGAATATTTTTGAGAGTATACTTTTTGAAATTTCAAGTACATCCAGCAGGTTTGGGAATTGTTGTTTTAAAAGAACATTGGGGTTTTATGTTTTTCTTCTGTCAGAAAACTCAGTATGAGAAAGAACAAAAAGGAAAAATTAAGAGCACAATAAAAAATTATCTGGCCATTACCAGCCATCTGGAAATGCTTAGCTTTAGGACTAATTTTTATCTGACCTATTTTTGACAATCCCCATGTACCATAAAACTAAAGAAAACTTGAAAAGCCTCTTTCAGAGGAGGTAGAGCAATACAGTTCCTAGCACTGAGGTCTGACTGAGAGAACAGCCCAAAGCATGCTCTTCTCTGCTGAATTTTCATTAATCCAAGCTGTTTAACCCTACTCTCTGGAAGCCAAACTGCTTTCTGTTTGCCACACCCTGTAATCCCTAAAATACTTCACTAACACTGCCTGTGAGCTGGTTCACTTTTATCTACATAGGAGCTGACAAGATGCACACTCATCAACATCCTACTGAAACTTCTCAAAAACAGATTTATGCAAAACTTTAATGCTCTCGACTTGACTACTCCATCATATGCTATCATCTACCTAACTCTCCAAACTCTGATTCTTTTTAACAAAAGTAACAGCAGGAATTGCCAAAGCAGAATATTTTCAAGAACAGCTAAACATAAAATTTTACTTGAGAAAAGGTAAAGGAATGAATGAGGTAAAGCTTTCTTCTTTTTATTTGGCTGCTCTACGCAGACTCATGACCTGTCCACTTCAGCACTAGCACTGCAGATCTGTAAGTGCTTTTCATTTCTCCAGAACAGCAACAGGTTCAGCTGAAGCTCCTGGTGTAGCTTGGGAAGTTTTATTTCTTATCCTCCTTCGAGCAGCCTAAGCTCACACTGTTACCATCACTGAGTCTGCAGAACTCTGCATGTAGTGCAGGATAGTTTGGAAATTAGAACAGTCCCAGCAGATCAGATCACTGTGAATTGGGTCAAAGGAGATCACTTATTGATTATTCTTGCCAAATTCTCTTTAAACAAAAGGACTGGAAGATGTCTTCACTACAGTCATAGCTCCTGGAGATGCTTTTTTTATATCAATTACTATGCTAACATATTCCTCCTTTACACACAAACCCACACAGTCTATATTAAGTACATGTCCAGTGGGAATACAGTATGAATTTAGCATAATTTTCTTTAAAAATGTTAGAATTTTTCCTTGAATACAGTAATTATCTTCTCAAGAACTCTTAAAATACATTCATATATTAATTTTGATGATGAGAAGCTATTACAGTTATGGAGTCAAATTAGCATTGCAAGTGTAAAGATTGCTTTTTTTATACATATATCATCAAATTAACTACTTACCCCGACTAAAGCATCTCCACACAGTATTTCCTCAGAGGCCTTCAAGAGGAACGCGTCTTGTAGCAAATGCGCTGGTTTGAGGATTAGGGATTGTAGGATTAGGGATTGTGTGCCATTTTATGGGTCTGACAAGTTTTTGCTCACTTCAGGCACTTTCATTCTCTCCTGTAATACGACAACACAGTGAGAGCTCAGCCGTGCCCATCACAGTCTCCCAGTCAGAACCGACTGCGTTGGACTTTATTATTATCTGAGCACAATTCGTGAAGAAATCAGTTTCATTCTTGCGGGAACTGATATCAAGACAGGCTTGATATTAAACAGAAGGATTTAAACCAACTCACTGGAGCTCAAAGAACTGAGCCACCACCTGGCTGTGTTTGCTAAGCCGGAGGATGTGTCGGGCCAGACAGGGTCACTGTCCCCCGCGCAGGGCTGAGTGAGGACGGGACAGGGAACGGGGAGATTGTTTCCTCGGCCTCCAGCTCTGGCACTGGTAGCAGGTTCCTGAGCCGTATGCAGGCTTTACGCCATTTCATCTTCAAAACGTAGCCACAGTCCCCTCCTCATTACTTGTGGCCCCTCTGGTCGTGCCCTCAACCGCACAGGGGAAAACAGCTCTTCACCACTTCTGTTCCGTGTTTGACTACAGCCCTGAGGCGTTACAGCACAGGGCAGCCTTTTGCTCTGTAAACCATAAGGTCACAGTTTTGGCATTTTGGTAACGAGTCGGTAAGTCGCCGGTAAAGTTTACTGCAGGTAAAGTTTACTGCAGGTAAAGTTCTGGGGTGACACCCGCGGGCGGGGGCAGGACCGGGCCATGAGGGGCGCTGAGGGGACGCTCCCGCCCTCCCGCCGGCAGGGGGCGCCCCGCGCGCGGCAATGGCGGCGCGGGAAGGGCTCCCTCAGAGAGAGCCACCTCCTTCAGAGAGGGCCGCTCCTTCCCTCAGAGAGAGCCGCCTCCCTCAGCGAGGGCCGCTCCTTCCCTCAGAGGGAGCCGCCTCCCTCAGCCGCCTCCCTCAGAGAGAGCCGCCTCAGCGAGGGCCGCTCCTTCCCTCAGAGAGAGCCGCCTCCCTCAGCGAGGGCCGCTCCTTCCCTCAGAGGGAGCCGCCTCCCTCAGCGAGGGCCGCTCCTTCCCTCAGAGGGAGCCGCCTCCTTCAGAAAGGGCCGCTCCTTCCCTCAGCGAGAGCCGGCTCCGTCAGCTCCGCGCGGCTGGTCCGGCACCGCCCGCACAACACGGCAGGAAGACGCCAAAGGCGCTCCTTCGCTCCGACCGCTGCAGAACGAGGGAGCTGTGCACAGGGGGATGAACGGTTTAAAACCTCCTGTGAAAGAAACCATGATGCTTCCCCTCTAGTCGATTCTCTTTGTGAGCTCGCATTTTATGTAGAAAAATTTACCTGATAGAGCTGCTCGTAATCCATAACACAGTATGAAGGTGTTAGTGTGACATCAGTGAGACTGGAGGGGTCCTGCCAGCAAAGCCGTGCAACACAGATGGGCATTGAGAGTTACCAGCTCGGTGCAGGCAGCACGTGTCGTGACGGGTTGGGGGCACGAGAACCACAGTTTCCTTTCAATGCTTGTGTCTTACCTTTATTAAAGGTGTTACAGAACAATAGCCAGAGCATGCCAGTCCACTAGCAAAGAGGGGTTAACAGTAGTAGAGGACAAAAGAGGATAAACAACTCGTTGACAAACAGGTTTCTCTATTTTTTTTTGTTGTTGTTGGACAGTGATGCTGATTTAAGAATGTGAAATTGCCCCTCTAGGATACCAAAAATACATTTCTTCCACAAGTGATCCCAACCTTTTGCTTCACAAACTCTGGAAAACTGGTATCAGTCGCTCCAGTTTTCTTCTTTTTTGGATAGCTGTCCACATAGCTTACAGACAAAACATGAAAAATTCTACCAAACATCAGTAAACTTTCATTTTCACAGCAGCTTTCGGAAAAAAAAATAAATCTATCTTGCTCAAATGCATGAAATGTGTAACCTGAACAACCTACAGCTGTAGATTTGATTGTTTGAACACATTCTAGTTTCCAGCTTACAGCAAAACCAGTCCAAAGAGAGAGAAGTTAGTTTACTTGGCTTCAGAGAACCTTACACAGTGAGGGAGGCAAATGTTACTAGGGCTGCACTTTAAGGATAAAGAGTGAAGAAGTTTTACTCATCCATCATACCTTTTATTTTCTAATATCAGTAGGTGATCATCTTTAAGGAACTTGAGGGGCAAGAATTGAGGAATATACCAGCTGCACTTTACAGATTAACAGCCACAAAAATAGAAAGCAACTAGACAATCTCAGGGTTTCACAAAACTAGTTTCCATTTGTAACACTTGACGCAACAAGATTAACTGCAACAAGTGAAGAAGCTACATCTGTAAAGTGCTATTTTTGTTGGAAGTGGCTAAAAAAGCACAACTACAACAGATTTGGGTATTCCGTGGTGAGATTGGCGATGTCCTCCAAGTATTTCCTTTCAGGCTCTGTGTTTCTTGATGAAGTTGATGAGCCCATTTGTTGAGCTATCATGAGATGTCACTGGAGCATCTGACTCCAGTTCAGGCTCAATTTTCTTGGCAAGTTGTTTTCCAAGCTCAACTCTGCATTTATAAAAGCAGCAGAAGAAAGAAAAACATTAGTGAATTGAAAAACAGAAAGACATTAGTGCTAACAACTTAGAGTATTTACTATAAGCCATTTACATTAAAAATAGATGCTGGTAAAAGTAATTTCCCAGTGAACACTATGATGCTTTTCCCCTCACAAATTACTGAGAAAGTATTTAACTTAGTGCCATTCTGAAACAACTGGAGTTCTCACAGCTGCTTAGCTGAACAAACAGCTCAAATTACAGGATGTCTAAAGAGAAAGTTTTGTTTCTGAAGTTGAGCAGAGTCCTTTCCCCTCAGTATTCACGTGTGTTATGCAGCCTGCCCCAGTGCTCTCTCGCTCCTGTTCACTGCTGACCATGACACTGCTCACCACACCAATTTATGGCACCAAGACAATAAACAGCAGCTGAGTTGCAGGCCTGGAAGCATCCCCAGCACTACAGAGGGCTATCCAGGAGTTACAGCCTCACAGGATAAGAACCTGGGATAGTCCAACTGCTGTAAGAAACTAGGCTGGTCCTACAGTGTCCCCACATTCCATAGTTTTGGATGCCATTCTAGATTTTCATGTGTGGCAGTATAAGCTGTAATTACTCCTATCCCACTCCTGGTTTCAGAGTTTATAGCAGTACAGCTCATACTAGCCAGTCTTCCCTTCTCAGGTTATACTACAGTATTTTAAGGAACATAGCTCTAAGAACACACGTACAAAGGCTACCCTTCAGCCTTTAAGGAGACAGCTTAGTGTAAACTGATATTCTACACCTGTAGAGCAAGTGTGCTCTTCAAAATAAGCCCTCACAGCATAGGCAGGCTGCACCTGAAAAAATCTTACCTTTTTCCCTGTACCTAAGCCTTCATATGGTATGTTGTACAGTTCCTATTACTGTAGATTAAAAACAATCTGATTAGCTCCTGATTAAATCTTCCATTGTGAGGAGTTTGTCCATTCCAATGACAAACTCCTCAAAGATGCTGTTGTGCACATGGAGCTCCACAACCCTCAGTCACAGACACAGACCTCTGCCAGGAATGTTCTTGTCTCTCCATATAGGAAAACTCAGAGGTGGTCAGTCTTTGGCTTAACATGCTATTCAAACTGCCTACTAAATGTTTCTAGAGGTAAAATAACTCTTTTTCACTTTCTATAAGGGAAAATATTTTTCCTTTCTAATTCTCAGAGCATGTGTTAAGCCTGCTTGACTACCTTCCTCATTACTGCCCCTTTTCTGCTTCATAGTGTTCTTCTAAATCCAACTAAGCACAGGTCCTTAGCTAAAATTGTATCTACAAAGTCACTGTGCACGACTGAGTAAGGACACACAGTGACTTATCCCCAGAAAACGTTTTCCCTTAAAACTATCCTATAATAATTGCTCCAAGTATGACACTTTTTTTATTGTCTTTTCTCTAAGTCAGGATAGATTAAGAAATATCACAGTCAATAAATATGCAAGTAACAGAACAAGGAAACTTACCCCCACTGGTCATAACTGTTAATATCCCAGACAACTCCTTGAACAAATATCTTGTGCTCATACATGGCTGTAAGCAGAAAGATTTATCAATAAACTGGATCAGAAAGTCTTAATAAACATTGGCAGATGAGAGACCTATTTACTCACCAATGATGGCTCCCAGAGTGAACGGGTTGAGTTTTGTAAACATGATGGAATTGGTTGGTCGATTTCCCTCAAAGACCTTTCAAAACAAGAGTTACATTGTCATCTAATATATTGTAAAACTTATATCACTTATATTTTTCTCCCAGCCCTCACTGAACTATTTGCATTAGCAGTAAACCCAAAGTCCTGAAAGCTCTGAGGACTACCACCTTCAGGCAGAAAATTGTATCACTTCCATGTGTTATTATTACAAACTCAACAGCAAACTTCTCTCTGAGCAGCACTGCTGGCTGCTGTGGGCTACAAGAAGTAAAACAAGGCAATATCCCAGGGGCAGTGCTGAGGTAGCTCACCCCTCCTGAAATGTCCCAAAAGGCTCCAGAACAGGGAGCTTTAGCACAAGTGCTCCTTGTACCTGCTCTGAGTGCCCTGCCGAGGTGCCCCCTGTGCCACCCCTGCTGGCTGCTGCAGTGCCCCCACAGCAGGAGAGCCCACGGGGCAGGGCCCAGGTACCTTGTGGGGAAGGAGCTTCTCCAGAGCCTCCCCGCTCAGCCCGGCCCCCTGCAGCTCCTTCCGAGCCTCCTCCGCAGTCTTGCCTTTCATCAAGGCCTCCGTCTGAGCCAGGAAGTTGGCCAGCAGGATCTAGCAGGGGCACACAAACACAGCTCAGGTTCCCATTCCCTCAGCTGGAACAGTGGTACCTGGTGCTCCACTCCATACCAAGACCCAGTCTGGACTTACAAGTCTTGTTAACACTGTAGCAGTTTTAGCTGCATGATGCCCACTATTGCTTTTTACTTCAGAGTGCCAGGAGACTTAATTACTGTTTTAAAAAGTACTGCATCCAAAGACAACCAGGACAAGCTTTGCAGAATCCTGCCCCTGCCAAAACTGGCAGCGAATCTCCCACTGAGAACAGAGGAGCCAGGACCTCACCCAGCCCTTTCACCCACTGTAGTCTATGCTTTTATTCCATGCTATGGAAATCCAGGTGCAAAGATTAGTCACAGCTAACCAACTAAGGTGCACTTACTCATCTGTAGGCAGGAAAATCCCCACAGCATCTCACGTACCAATCCCTACCAAGGCAGTGCAAGTTTCTAGTTTCCTATTCCCTCTCTAATGTTAGCCTGCAAATTCACGTGTGTTTACACCGAAGATAAACTCTTACTGTATCTACAGTCAAATGAAACCTTTACTCCCCTTCCTTTGCAAAGTCATACTCAAACTTCCACTGTACTAGGTGTTACTTGACCAAAAATTACTATTACAAGTGCCATTCCAATTGAGTAATCTGAAATCATGATGAGACTAAAATTTAGTGAGGAAACATGCTTTTTCTGAAGGATGTATTAAGTGGTAGACCTGTACGTGTTTCCACCTATGGAAGTTCAATAAAATCCTTAGTTCAGTGGAAATCCTCAGTTAGACAATACATTAAACTAAAAATTTTACAGGTTAAAAACATCTTTGTAGAAGCCACGACCCCAACCATGCTATTACACTGATGAATTTTTATCCTAGTAGAGTTTAAGACTTGAAAACTTCCTCAGAGATGCTGTCACATCACATCTGAGTTTATTTCTTCCTACTCGGCAAGAATTACACTCCTTGCAACTCCTACAAAGAATTTTCCCTCCAAATACTTAATTGCTCAACTCTTTCCAGCTTCAGTTGGCCCACAGGACACACCACTGAGCTGCCTCAAGAACTGTGGCTGTAATTTCTTCAAGAACAAACACACCACT